TGTCCATTCTCAAGGATGGCTTGAAATATTTCTGCAGAAGTGAGAACATTCTAAAACCACTATTTTGATTTACTATTTTGTATTAACCGAACCTATTAGCAGGATTCAGTGTGACAGTTCCACATATGCATACAGTATGCACTGATCAACTTTGCTTTGTCCCCACCTCCCCTGAAACCCCACATCCTTCCCAATCTCAGGTAATTACTATTCCCCATTCAGGTTGAGAAGGTAGAGATTAATTTTATTTGTGAAAAGGCTTCAATATGTAATTCAGGCTGGGCTTGGACTTATTGAGTAGCTCAGGCTGGTCTCTCCATCCTCCTGCCTTGACCTCTTAGTGCTGGGTCTATAGGCCTGTGCTACTAACTGACTTTTGCTAATCCTTGTTCTGATACGCTCTTTAGATCAGCACAAACTTGACCAAGTGACTTTTTGGGAGTTGGTGTTGTGCTTCCTAAATCAAACTGTGTAGCTTTGAGGCTGAAAGGTGAAGCCCCAACCTACCTGAATCCACCACTCACCTAAGACTGTATGATCTGCCAAGATTTCCTGCACACCGCGGTGTCTCAGTTTCATCGGAGAACAATATCTACTTCACAGGATCTTGGTTAGGATTATCATAGTGAGTGCCTGTCATGTGCCAAGTGCTGGGGTCACACCAGTAAACAAAGCTAAGTCCCTGCCCCCATGGTGTTTGATGGAGGGAACCAGACACTAATTCCATAAATATTTAATATAACAGATGGTGGTAAGTGTGATGATGGATGAGGCACTATAAGTCAGATAGAGTGTCAGGGTGGGGAAAAGCTATTTCTCCTTAGGATCATCAGGGAAAGCCTCTATGACAACAGATTTTAAGGCCAGGGAAGGTGAGTGGCACACATATGTAACCCCAGCACTCAGAGGGTTACATAGTTAAGATCCTGGCTCAAAAGAAAACAAAACACAAAAACAAAGAAAATTCCACAAAGCTGGGTGGTGTGGTGGCTTGACTCTCACCTATAATTCTAGCCCTTGGGAGGCTGAGGCAGGAGATTGCCACAAGTTCAAGACCAACCTGAGCTACTTAGTTAGTTCCAGGCCATCCTAGCTGCATTGTGGGCTCCAAGCCACCTGGACCTTGTCTAAAAAAGTCAAAGATGATTTTGGTCGGGCTAGGATACATGAGACCCTGTCTAAAATAAAATAAGAAAATAAATGTAGGCTGGGGAGACGACTCAATGAATTGTTTATTATGTTGCAAGAGAACCCGAGTTCAGATCGCCAGCACCCACATAAAAAAAGGGCTCTGCAGTACATGCCTATAACCCAGTGCTGGAGGACAGAGACAAGCAGATCTCGGAAGCTTGCTGGCCAGCCAGTCTAGCTGAAGCAGCAAGCCCTAAGTCTAATGAGAGATCCTGTTTCAAAAAAAAAAGGTGAAGAGTCGTAGAGGGAGACATCCCATATTGACCTCTGGTCTCTACACATGCAGGCAGTGAAAAATTCCAGAGACAACAGCATACCTTGCATGTTTAAGAAAACTCAAAGGAGCTGATGTAACTATAGATAAGTGATCAGATTCTTATATAGCTGAAGGAAAAGCTGACAGGACTTGTTAATGGATCACTTATTGGTAAAGGTGCTTGTGTTCAGGCCTGACAAACTGAATTCAATGCCTGGACTGCACAAGATGGCAAGAGAGACCTGATTCCCAAAAGTTGTCCTTTGTGTGCCTGCACACACACACACACACACACACACACACAATAAATAAATAAATAAGTAAATAAATAAAAATACTTTCTTGTTGTTTTGAGACAGGGTTTCCCTGTAGCCCCAGCTGACCTGGAACTTGCTATGTAGACCAGGCTGGCCTTGATCTCACAGAGATCCTCCTACCTCTGCCTCCCAAGTGCTGGGATTAATTAAAGCACCAACATGCCCAGCTAAATAAATAAGATTTAAAATATGTATGTGGTGATGGTGTCTTAGGGAGAAGAGCTAAGAACTCCAGAGTGCTTGACAGGAATAGGGTACCATTTCTTGAGGTGGGAAAGCTATTAATATAAAATGCTTAGCATGGGCTGGAATGTAGCTCAGTTAGTAGAGAGCTAAGTAGCCTAGCATGGGTTCTATCTTCAGCATTTTATAAATCCAGCCTGGCAGAGCATAGTAGTCGGAGACAAGAGAGTCAGAAATTCATGGTCATCCTCGGCTCTGCTGGGCTGGATTTATAAAATGCTGAAGATAGAACCCATGCTAGGCCTGGGATACATAAGCCCCTATCTCAAATAAAATAAAATAATACGATAAAATAAAACAAAAGGTTTAACGTGGATTTGGGCATAAACAAGTGCCCACAGTACTACATAGTCTTTGTATTGATAATTTTGTTTTTCTCTTTTATATTTATTTATTTATTTTATATGTATGAGTGTATTGCTTGCTTGTGTGTAAGTGCACCTATGTCGTGAAATGCCTGAGGAAGTCAGAAGAGGGAGTCAGAATCCCTGAAACTGGAATTATAGATGGTTGTTAGCCTCCATGTGGGTGCTGGGAGCCGAACCCAGATTCTCTGCAAGAGCAGCCAGTGCTCTTAATCACCGATTTTGATTTTCTTGACTAAGTTTCGTCACCCAGGCTTTGAAAATTCAGAGAATATCTGGCAATCACTTTACTAAACAGCGCCTCTTTGCCGTGTATAGGAAAGCCCTATAAGAAAATCAACAGTTATTGAATTAACATACTTTAAGCACTATTTCCATTACTAGACTGCAATGAGAAAGAGAAGAGAGAGAGAAAGAGAGAGAAAGGTGGTATATATGTATATATTTATTTATTTACTTATTTGCTTGTTTATTGAGACAGGAGTTCTGTGTAGCCCAGGCTGGCTTTAGGCTGGCTTAAAATTCCCTGTTCTAGCCCGGGCAGCCCTTAAACTCAAGCTCCTTTTGCCTCCAACTCACTAGAACTGCTTACAAGTGTGTATCACCACGCTCAGTTTAGAGCTGGGGTTTAATATTTTTATGAATAGATGAATAAATGCATATTATATTTGCACTGGAGAAAACTGATAGCAGGCCAAACATTTGAGCCCATAATTTCCTGATCACTGAGTTTGAATCCTTCAATAGCCACACTGTGGGGCTTCATACACCCTTTGACTGTATTTGGATACACTGTCTCTGTAGCCAGGGAAAGCTAGCCTTGAACTCCTGATCCTCCTGCCTCCAGCTCTCAAGTGATGGGATTGGAGTCTGATGATTTTGATTTCACCATAAAACATAAAAAAACACTCAGGATACTCAGAGAAAGATTGACTTCAAATTGTGAAGATCTAGTAATATGGTCCAAAATTTTTTGAGTGCACAAAATTGCATAATGGTAAAACATTTCATCTAATTTGCCTAAGGACACGTAGGCTACAAAGGACAGGATATAAGTTAGGTCCCCTCACAGCAAAGCCCTACCTGCTTTACCTTGGGTTTTTGGTTTTTGTTTTGGGGTTTTTCTTTTTTTTTTTTATTTTTGAGACAGGGTCTCAGTATGTAGCACTAGCTGGTCTACAACTCACAATGTAGGCCAAGCTGGCCTCAAATTCACAGAGATCCATCTGCTTCTGTGTCCCAAGTGCTGGGATTAAAGGTGTGTGCAAACACTACTGGTTATTTGTACTGCCTACAAATTTCTATGTCCAAGTGATCCTCTTACCTCAGCCTCCCTGGTAAATAATTGTGACGGTAACCACATACTGCCATACCTAGCTCATAGGCACATGTCACCTCACAGGCACACACCACCATGCCTAACTCACAGGCACGTGCCACCATGCTTAGTTCTTGAGGAAGTTGTTTTTTTTTTTGGTCTTTTTGAGACAGGGTCTCCCTGCAGCCCCAGCTGTCCTGGAACTCACTATGTAGACCAGACTGGCCTTGAACTCACAGAGATCCACCTGCCTCTGCCTCCCAAGTGCTGGGATTAAAGGTGTGAGCCACCATGCCCGGCTGAGGAAGTTGTTTTTTTAAAAAAAGATTTATTTATGTGTATCTGTGTGAATGTATGCCATCTGTGTAGATGCCCTTGGAACCCAGAAGATGGTGTTGGATCCCTTGGATCTGGAGCTATAGGCAGTTATGAGCCCCCAACCAATGTGGATGCTAGGATCTAAACTCAGGTCCTCTGGAAGAGCAGCAAGCACTTACATACACTCACACACATAATTAAAAATAAAAATAAATCTTAAGTTTACTTTTTTTTTTTTTTGATGCAGAGTCTCGTAATTCAGGCTGTCCTTGAACTCACTCAGGATGATCCTGAACTCATGATCCTCCTGCCTCTACCTTCTTTTGTTTTGCGACAGGTGCTCACTATATAGCCCAGGCTAGCCTCAAACTTCATATGTAGTCCAGGCTGACCTCCAAGTAGACAGCCTCCTGCCTCAATCACTCAGGTGTTAGGGTTACAGGCCTGTGCCACATATACATAAAAATTTAAACTTGTTTTTGGCAGGGAGACAATTGAGATAAGGTCTCACTATGGATCTAATACATGGCAATCCTCCTGCCTCAGTCCACAGACTCTTGCTGGGATTGTAGACCAGCAGCAACCATGCCTGGTTTTTAAAACTTTCATTTTCAAACCTGGTTT